ACTCCTCAGAGAGATGCTCCATGTTCCAGAGAGAGACTCAGCTCCACCTGTCCCTCAGAGAGATGCTCCATGTTCCAGAGAGAGAGAGACTCAGCTCCACCTGTCCCTCAGAGAGATGCTCCATGTTCCAGAGAGAGACTCAGCTCCATCTGTCCCTCAGAGAGATGCTCCATGTTCCAGAGAGAGACTCAGCTCACCTGCCCTCAGAGAGATGCTCCATGTCCAGAGAGAGAGGACTCAGCCCATCTGTCCCTCAGAGAGATGCTCCATGTTCCAGAGAGAGAGATCAGCTCCATCTGTCCCTCAGAGAGATGCTCCATGTTCCAGAGAGAGACTCAGCTCCACCTGTCCCTCAGAGAGATGCTCCATGTTCCAGAGAGAGAGACTCAGCTCCATCTGTCCCTCAGAGAGATGCTCCATGTTCCAGAGAGAGAGACTCAGCTCCACTGTCCCTCAGAGAGATGCTCCATGTTCCAGAGAGAGAGACTCAGCTCCATCTGTCCCTCAGAGAGATGCTCCATGTTCCAGAGAGAGAGACTCAGCTCCATCTGTCCCTCAGAGAGATGCTCCATGTTCCAGAGAGAGAGACTCAGCTCCACCTGTCCCTCAGAGAGATGCTCCATGTTCCAGAGAGAGAGACTCAGCTCCATCTGTCCCTCAGAGAGATGCTCCATGTTCCAGAGAGAGAGACTCAGCTCCATCCTGTCCCTCAGAGAGATGCTCCATGTTCCAGAGAGAGAGACTCAGCTCCACTGTCCCTCAGAGAGATGCTCCATGTTCCAGAGAGAGACTCAGCTCCATCTGTCCCTCAGAGAGATGCTCCATGTTCCAGAGAGAGACTCAGCTCCATCTGTCCCTCAGAGAGATGCTCCATGTTCCAGAGAGAGAGACTCAGCTCCACCTGTCCCTCAGAGAGATGCTCCATGTTCCAGAGAGAGACTCAGCTCCACCTGTCCCTCAGAGAGATGCTCCATGTTCCAGAGAGAGAGACTCAGCTCCATCTGTCCCTCAGAGAGATGCTCCATGTTCCAGAGAGAGAGACTCAGCTCCATCTGTCCCTCAGAGAGATGCTCCATGTTCCAGAGAGAGAGACTCAGCTCCATCTGTCCCTCAGAGAGATGCTCCATGTTCCAGAGAGAGAGACTCAGCTCCACCTGTCCCTCAGAGAGATGCTCCATGTTCCAGAGAGAGAGACTCAGCTCCATCTGTCCCTCAGAGAGATGCTCCATGTTCCAGAGAGAGACTCAGCTCCACCTGTCCCTCAGAGAGATGCTCCATGTTCCAGAGAGAGACTCAGCTCCATCTGTCCCTCAGAGAGATGCTCCATGTTCCAGAGAGAGACTCAGCTCCATCTGTCCCTCAGAGAGATGCTCCATGTTCCAGAGAGAGACTCAGCTCCATCTGTCCCTCAGAGAGATGCTCCATGTTCCAGAGAGAGAGACTCAGCTCCATCTGTCCCTCAGAGAGTATGCTCCATGTTCAGAGAGAGACTCAGCTCCATCTGTCCCTCAGAGAGATGCTCCATGCTCCACCTGTCCCTCAGAGAGATGCTCCATGTTCCAGAGAGAGACTCAGCTCCATCTGTCCCTCAGAGAGATGCTCCATGTTCCAGAGAGAGACTCAGCTCCATCTGTCCCTCAGAGAGATGCTCCATGTTCCAGAGAGAGACTCAGCTCCATCTGTCCCTCAGAGAGATGCTCCATGTTCCAGAGAGAGACTCAGCTCCATCTGTCCCTCAGAGAGATGCTCCATGTTCCAGAGAGAGAGACTCAGCTCCATCTGTCCCTCAGAGAGATGCTCCATGTTCCAGAGAGAGACTCAGCTCCATCTGTCCCTCAGAGAGATGCTCCATGTTCCAGAGAGAGACTCAGCTCCACCTGTCCCTCAGAGAGATGCTCCATGTTCCAGAGAGAGAGACTCAGCTCCATCTGTCCCTCAGAGAGATGCTCCATGTTCCAGAGAGAGAGACTCAGCTCCACCTGTCCCTCAGAGAGATGCTCCATGTTCCAGAGAGAGAGACTCAGCTCCATCTGTCCCTCAGAGAGATGCTCCATGTTCCAGAGAGAGAGACTCAGCTCCATCTGTCCCTCAGAGAGATGCTCCATGTTCCAGAGGAGAGACTCAGCTCCACCTGTCCTCAGAGAGATGCTCCATGTTCCAGAGAGAGACTCAGCTCCCTTGTCCTAAGATGTCCTGTTCCAGAGAGAGAGACTCAGCTCCACCTTTCCCTCAGAGAGTGCTCCATGTTCCAGAGAGAGAGACTCAGCTCCATCCTGTCCCTCAGAGAGATGCTCCATGTTCCAGAGAGAGACTCAGCTCCACCTGTCCCTCAGAGAGATGCTCCATGTTCCAGAGAGAGAGACTCAGCTCCCCCCTGTCCCTCAGAGAGATGCTCCATGTTCCAGAGAGAGAGACTCAGCTCCATCTGTCCCTCAGAGAGATGCTCCATGTTCCAGAGAGAGAGACTCAGCTCCACCTGTCCCTCAGAGAGATGCTCCATGTTCCAGAGAGAGAGACTCAGCTCCACCTGTCCCTCAGAGAGATGCTCCATGTTCCAGAGAGAGAGACTCAGCTCCATCTGTCCCTCAGAGAGATGCTCCATGTTCCAGAGAGAGACTCAGCTTCACCTGTCCCTCAGAGAGATGCTCCATGTTCCAGAGAGAGAGACTCAGCTCCACCTGTCCCTCAGAGAGATGCTCCATGTTCCAGAGAGAGAGACTCAGCTCCACCTGTCCCTCAGAGAGATGCTCCATGTTCCAGAGAGAGACTCAGCTCCATCTGTCCCTCAGAGAGATGCTCCATGTTCCAGAGAGAGAGACTCAGCTCCACCTGTCCCTCAGAGATGCTCCATGTTCCAGAGAGAGAGACTCAGCTCCATCTGTCCCTCAGAGAGATGCTCCATGTTCCAGAGAGAGACTCAGCTCCATCTGTCCCTCAGAGAGATGCTCCATGTTCCAGAGAGAGAGACTCGCTCCATCTGTCCCTCAGAGAGATGCTCCATGTTCCAGAGAGAGAGACTCAGCTCCACCTGTCCCTCAGAGAGATGCTCCATGTTCCAGAGAGAGAGACTCAGCTCCATCTGTCCCTCAGAGAGATGCTCCATGTTCCAGAGAGAGACTCAGCTCCATCTGTCCCTCAGAGAGATGCTCCATGTTCCAGAGAGAGACTCAGCTCCATCTGTCCCTCAGAGAGATGCTCCATGTTCCAGAGAGAGAGACTCAGCTCCATCTGTCCCTCAGAGAGATGCTCCATGTTCCAGAGAGAGAGACTCAGCTCCACCTGTCCCTCAGAGAGATGCTCCATGTTCCAGAGAGAGACTCAGCTCCATTGATCATCGTGGAGAGCAGGCAGACGTGTTGTTTTGTATTATAGCAGCTATCAGATGGAATCAATGCAAGGGCTGCACAGGTCGTCATGTCCGACTATCACAAGTAGAATCATAATGAAAAGGTCAAATGTGCCTGTAGAAAACGGCTTCTGCCACAAGAGGATAGCAACAAGTAGTCAATAGTGAGTTTAGCTTCGGTTGCTAAGCTAACATCAGCCATGTTGTACCAGAGACACAGTGTGAAGCCAAACGGCATCAAGTCGAGTTCTTTGGAGTGAATGATCAGTTTCATTTCTATCTGATTGAGTCCTCTCACCTGGCTCCTCTGTCTCGCTGAAGGTAGGTAGGCGGGCAGTAGGACCTGGGGAGGCAGCGAGGACAGGGGGTCGTCCTGGAGACACACACACATTTAAATATATGAATATACAGACGTCAGTGTTCCTCAGGTGTTCTCAGACCTCTGGAGAAGCCTTCCTGGACACACACCGTCTCTCCTGGAGACACACCGTCTCTCCTGGAGACACACCGTCTCTCCTGGAGACACACCGTCTCTCCTGGAGACACACTGTCTCTCCTGGACACACACTGTCTCTCCTGGAGACACACTGTCTGTTCTGGAGACACACTGTCTGACCTGGAGACACACTGTCTCTCCTGGAGACACACTGTCTGTCCTGGAGACACACTGTCTCTCCTGGAGACACACTGTCTGTTCTGGAGACACACTGTCTGACCTGGAGACACACTGTCTGACCTGGAGACACACTGTCTCTCCTGGAGACACACTGTCTCTCCTGGAGACACACTGTCTGACCTGGAGACACACTGTCTCTCCTGGAGACACACTGTCTGTCCTGGAGACACACTGTCTCTCCTGGAGACACACTGTCTGTCCTGGAGACACACTGTCTCTCCTGGAGACACACTGTCTCTCCTGGAGACACACTGTCTGTCCTGGAGACACACTGTCTCTCCTGGAGACACACTGTCTGACCTGGAGACACACTGTCTCTCCTGGAGACACACTGTCTGACCTGGAGACACACTGTCTCTCCTGGAGACACACTGTCTGACCTGGAGACACACTGTCTCTCCTGGAGACACACTGTCTGACCTGGAGACACACTGTCTCTCCTGGAGACACACTGTCTGACCTGGAGACACACTGTCTCTCCTGGAGACACACTGTCTGTCCTGGAGACACACTGTCTCTCCTGGAGACACACTGTCTCTCCTGGAGACACACTGTCTGACCTGGAGACACACTGTCTGTCCTGGAGACACACCGTCTCTCCTGGAGACACACCGTCTGTCCTGGAGACACACCGTCTCTCCTGGAGACACACCGTCTGACCTGGAGACACACCGTCTGACCTGGAGACACACCGTCTGACCTGGAGACACACCGTCTCTCCTGGAGACACACCGTCTGTCCTGGAGACACACCGTCTCTCCTGGAGACACACCGTCTGTCCTGGAGACACACCGTCTCTCCTGGAGACACACCGTCTGTCCTGGAGACACACCGTCTCTCCTGGAGACACACCGTCTCTCCTGCAGACACACCGTCTGTCCTGGAGACACACTGTCTGTCCTGGAGACACACTGTCTCTCCTGGAGACACACTGTCTGTTCTGGAGACACACTGTCTGACCTGGAGACACACTGTCTGTCCTGGAGACACACTGTCTCTCCTGGAGACACACTGTCTGACCTGGAGACACACTGTCTCTCCTGGAGACACACTGTCTGACCTGGAGACACACTGTCTCTCCTGGAGACACACTGTCTGACCTGGAGACACACTGTCTCTCCTGGAGACACACTGTCTCTCCTGGAGACACACTGTCTGACCTGGAGACACACTGTCTCTCCTGGAGACACACTGTCTGTCCTGGAGACACACTGTCTCTCCTGGAGACACACTGTCTGTCCTGGAGACACACTGTCTCTCCTGGAGACACACTGTCTCTCCTGGAGACACACTGTCTCTCCTGGAGACACACTGTCTGACCTGGAGACACACTGTCTCTCCTGGAGACACACTGTCTGTCCTGGAGACACACTGTCTCTCCTGGAGACACACTGTCTGACCTGGAGACACACTGTCTCTCCTGGAGACACACTGTCTGACCTGGAGACACACTGTCTCTCCTGGAGACACACTGTCTGTCCTGGAGACACACTGTCTGTCCTGGAGACACACTGTCTGTCCTGGAGACACACTGTCTCTCCTGGAGACACACTGTCTGACCTGGAGACACACTGTCTGACCTGGAGACACACTGTCTCTCCTGGAGACACACTGTCTCTCCTGGAGACACACTGTCTGACCTGGAGACACACTGTCTGTCCTGGAGACACACTGTCTCTCCTGGAGACACACTGTCTGACCTGGAGACACACTGTCTGACCTGGAGACACACTGTCTGTCCTGGAGACACACTGTCTCTCCTGGAGACACACTGTCTGTCCTGGAGACACACTGTCTCTCCTGGAGACACACTGTCTGACCTGGAGACACACTGTCTCTCCTGGAGACACACTGTCTGACCTGGAGACACACTGTCTCTCCTGGAGACACACTGTCTCTCCTGGAGACACACTGTCTCTCCTGGAGACACACTGTCTGTCCTCGCTTAGAGGGACACTAAAAACCGCTCTCCACGCAAAGCACAGATGATCTGCGTCTCTGATGCTTAGAAGATATACCAACAACAACATGTCTCCTGACACTCCTGACGTAAACAACATGTCTCCTGACGTAAACAACATGTCTCCTGACGTAAACAACATGTCTCCTGACGTAAACAACATGTCTCCTGACGTAAACAACATGTCTCCTGACGTAAACAACATGTCTCCTGACGTAAACAACATGTCTCCTGATGTAAACAACACGTCTCCTGACGTAAACAACATGTCTCCTGACGTAAACAACATGTCTCCTGATGTAAACAACACGTCTCCTGATGTAAACAACATGTCTCCTGACGTAAACAACATGTCTCCTGACGTAAACAACATGTCTCCTGTAAACAACATGTCTCCTGACGTAAACAACATGTCTCCTGATGTAAACAACATGTCTCCTGTAAACAACATGTCTCCTGACGTAAACAACATGTCTCCTGTAAACAACATGTCTCCTGTAAACAACATGTCTCCAGTAAACAACATGTCTCCTGACGTAAACAACATGTCTCCTGACGTAAACAACATGTCTCCTGTAAACAACATGTCTCCTGTAAACAACATGTATCCTGTAAACAACATGTCTCCTGATGTAAACAACATGTATCCTGTAAACAACATGTCTCCTGTAAACAACATGTATCCTGTAAACAACATGTCTCCTGATGTAAACAACATGTCTCCTGAAGCAAACAACATGTCTCCTGTAAACAACATGTCTCCTGATGTAAACAACATGTCTCCTGATGTAAACATCATGTCTCCTGTAAACAACATGTCTCCTGACGTAAACAACACGTCTCCTGACGTAAACAACATGTCTCCTGACGCAAACAACATGTCTCCTGATGTAAACAACATGTCTCCTGATGTAAACAACATGTCTCTGACGTAAACAACATGTCTCTGACGTAAACAACATGTCTCCTGACGTAAACAACATGTCTCCTGACGTAAACAACATGTCTCCTGACGCAAACAACATGTCTCCTGTCGCAAACAACATGTCTCCCGACGTAAACAACATGTCTCCCGACGTAAACAACATGTCTCCCGACGCAAACAACATGTCTCCCGACGCAAACAACATGTCTCCCGATGTAAACAACATGTCTACTGACGTAAACAAGATTAGAAACATGTCGCTAACAGGTGTTGCTCGGCGCAGACTGGACCCTGTGATTAGCAACATGTCGCTAACAGGTGTTGCTCGGCGCAGACTGGACCCTGTGATTAGCAACATGTCGCTAACAGGTGTTGCTCGGCGCAGACTGGACCCTGTGATTAGCAACATGTCGCTAACAGGTGTTGCTCCGCGCAGACTGAACCCTGTGATTAGCAACATGTCGCTAACAGGTGTTGCTCGGTGCAGACTGAACCCTGTGATTAGCAACATGTCGCTAACAGGTGTTGCTCGGTGCAGACTGAACCCTGTGATTAGCAACATGTCGCTAACAGGTGTTGCTCGGTGCAGACTGGACCCTGTGATTAGCAACATGTCGCTAACAGGTGTTGCTCGGCGCAGACTGAACCCTGTGATTAGCAACATGTCGCTAACAGGTGTTGCTCGGCGCAGACTGGACCCTGTGATTAGCAACATGTCGCTAACAGGTGTTGCTCGGCGCAGACTGGACCCTGTGATTAGCAACATGTCGCTAACAGGTGTTGCTCTGCGCAGACTGAACCCTGTGATTAGCAACATGTCGCTAACAGGTGTTGCTCGGTGCAGACTGGACCCTGTGATTAGCAACATGTCGCTAACAGGTGTTGCTCGGTGCAGACTGGACCCTGTGATTATCAACATGTCGCTAACAGGTATTGCTCGGCGCAGACTGAACCCTGTGATTAGCAACATGTCGCTAACAGGTGTTGCTCGGCGCAGACTGAACCCTGTGATTAGCAACATGTCGCTAACAGGTGTTGCTCGGTGCAGACTGAACCCTGTGATTAGCAACATGTCGCTAACAGGTGTTGCTCGGTGCAGACTGGACCCTGTGATTAGCAACATGTCGCTAACAGGTGTTGCTCGGCGCAGACTGAACCCTGTGATTAGCAACATGTCGCTAACAGGTGTTGCTCGGCGCAGACTGGACCCTGTGATTAGCAACATGTCGCTAACAGGTGTTGCTCGGCGCAGACTGGACCCTGTGATTAGCAACATGTCGCTAACAGGTGTTGCTCCGTGCAGACTGAACCCTGTGATTAGCAACATGTCGCTAACAGGTGTTGCTCGGCGCAGACTGAACCCTGTGATTAGCAACATGTCGCTAACAGGTGTTGCTCGGTGCAGACTGAACCCTGTGATTAGCAACATGTCGCTAACAGGTGTTGCTCGGTGTAGACTGGACCCTGTGATTAGCAACATGTCGCTAACAGGTGTTGCTCGGTGCAGACTGGACCCTGTGATTATCAACATGTCGCTAACAGGTATTGCTCGGCGCAGACTGAACCCTGTGATTAGCAACATGTCGCTAACAGGTGTTGCTCGGCGCAGACTGAACCCTGTGATTAGCAACATGTCGCTAACAGGTGTTGCTCGGTGCAGACTGGACCCTGTGATTAGCAACATGTCGCTAACAGGTATTGCTCGGCGCAGACTGGACCCTGTGATTAGCAACATGTCGCTAACAGGTGTTGCTCGGTGCAGACTGGACCCTGTGATTAGCAACATGTCGCTAACAGGTGTTGCTCGGCGCAGACTGGACCCTGTGATTAGCAACATGTCGCTAACAGGTGTTGCTCGGTGCAGACTGGACCCTGTGATTAGCAACATGTCGCTAACAGGTGTTGCTCGGCGCAGACTGGACCCTGTGATTAGCAACATGTCGCTAACAGGTGTTGCTCGGCGCAGACTGAACCCTGTGATTAGCAACATGTCGCTAACAGGTGTTGCTCGGTGCAGACTGGACCCTGTGATTAGCAACATGTCGCTAACAGGTATTGCTCGGCGCAGACTGGACCCTGTGATTAGCAACATGTCGCTAACAGGTGTTGCTCGGTGCAGACTGGACCCTGTGATTAGCAACATGTCGCTAACAGGTGTTGCTCGGCGCAGACTGGACCCTGTGATTAGCAACATGTCGCTAACAGGTGTTGCTCGGCGCAGACTGAACCCTGTGATTAGCAACATGTACAGTGAGGAGAATAGACGGATAAACAAATACAAAAAGACCACGTCTGCACATGTTACTAATAATAAAAGATAACAAGTAAAAGCAGATCAGAACTCCGGGGGAAAGGTAGCAGTGCCTGTGTTTTAAATAAAGTGAGGTATAGAAACAGGTCACATCAACAGCTGGTGTTATTATCCAGGGTTATTGATGTGTTCTCACCTGGAAGTTATCTTTCTCCAGAGCCTCCAGCTGCCGGCTCAGCCTCCTCTGCCTCGTCGCTTCATCTAGAACTCTGCGTCTGGAGTCAGCCTCCACACGAGCTGAAATGTATTTCATAAAACATATTTGGTATCGACTGAAATCAAACATTCTTTTCAATGGTTTGAATTCAAGTTAGGACTGACATCTGGCTCGATTTCATGTTATACAATAAATAAAACTGTATAATATAAAGTACAGTAAACAAGAGCCTGTGTGTGTGTGTGTGTGTGTGTGTGTGTGTGTGTGTGTGTGTGTGTGTGTGTGTTATAAAGAGGTAAATATAGCTAACATCCCTTCAGTAACCCCGCTGCAGATCTGGCTCCAGAAGTCATGATTTTACGCCGAATGTATCTTATGTTGGTACAAATACTAAATATGTAATGATAAAAAAACAAAGCCAGATGTTAGAGTTCATAAAATCAGAGAGAAGTTTAAAATGATCCTGATTTAGCTTCAGCTAGCCGCAGCTAACAGGTCGGCTAACAGATCAACAAACACAGACCTCATTTAGACACCTTTACTATTCCTAAATGTGTGTACTAACTCGGGACTTTACTGAGAAACGCAGAAAAGACTCGCTTTAATGGATAAAAGTGTTTAAATGTGTTAGAATTAAACAAAACTCACCGGAGCTTTTCTTCTCCAGCACCATGTTGTCACTACGGCAGCCGAGTCTTGCCAGAACACACGAAACGCCACAGACGGATTTACATGTAAGGATACTTCAGTTTAAGGTTTTAAATACTTAACAGATTATGTTTTTTTATTTCTGATCAAGCTTGAATAGTCAGAATACTTGTTTTAACGTGGTTTCTTTACTACGGGAAGCAACGAGGGACCAGTGCGCTGTGTTAATGGAGCGCGTTGCTTCTCTTTGTCGCCCCCTGCTGGCTTTATACGGTTTACATAAAAACTCATTTTTTACTTTTTATTTCACAAAAAACTCTTTAAGTCATTTAATTTAATACGTTTGGTTAATAAGACAGGTACTTAAAAACAATATTCAAAAGCATTAATGTCTTAGTAATTAAGATTAAAAGTCAGAATTAAGAGTGGCAGTTATAATTAGGTAATACAAATAGTTAAAACATAATAATTAAATGCTCTTTGACTCTGACTTGATTTCACATGTTATAAAAAATGCATATTATTTAAATAAATTCTGTTAAAATGGATTTAATTATTTTTAAAAAATGACAAATACAAATACATTTATTAATTAATTATCTATAGCTTTGACCTCTTTTTTATCCATCCATCCATCTTCCATCGATCCATCGTTGGGTGGCGGAGGTAGCAGTTCCAGCAGAGAGCAACAAACGTTCCTTTCCCATCAACCAGCTCTGACTGGGGGATCCCAAGGCGCTCCCAGGCCAGCGAAGAGATATAATCCCTCCTGTGGAGTTGTTTGACTACCTCAGTGACCTCCCCCCGGGAGATTGGTGTTGATCCCCCGTCATACTCCAGCTCTGCCTCTAACAAACTGTACACCCCAGCACGTGCACTCCGCTCTGCATCAGCCAAATGGCTCGCTGCGCCCTCGCTGCGCCCTCGCTGCGCCCTCGCTGCGCCCTCGCTGCGAAGGGGACCCAAGTTCCCATCAGCAGAAACACGTGGGTTTGCTATCCTGGCTCCAAGATGGTGGAATGAGCTCCCATTGACATCAGGACAGCAGAAAGCTTACACACCTTCCAGACTGAAAACTCATCTCTTTCGACTCCACTTCCAGCGATAGAACTATTAACAAAGCACTTTTATACTAATAAAGGACTGGCTTACCTAAAGCCAGTTGAGTAGCACTTGAAATGTTTGGCTCTATGAAACCTGATGTACTTTATGATTCTGTTTTCTTCAAGGTTGTGTCTTCCTGGTCGAATGCACTTATTGTAAGTCGCTCTGGATAAAAGCGTCAGCTACATGCAATGTAATGTAACATAATTGATTGATTGATTGATTGAAAAGTTTATTAATAGCTTGTATATTGGGTACAGTACAGTACAGCTCAAAACATACAATTGTTAAGGGGATGCAGACCAGAGAAAGACTTTCGTCTTGTTTACATCAGGGTCCCCCATTTCCAATTCATCATGTCATATAAGACATATAAGACATATTTGACATACAGATGGCTTATTTACAATTTACATACAGGTGGTTTTTTACATACAGATTGCTTACTTACAATTTTAATTTTAGATTTGGTTCTAATACATCCTAACCGGACATTTAAGACATACCAAGTCTACAGATATACAGTTAGTAACAGAGTCTAAAGAGGGCGGAGTTGTCGGGTTCAGGAGTTCCTCCAAGTGTTCCTTCCAACGCCCTAACGCCCTTCTCCATGTCTTCTCCGAACTTCTCCCACACCCGCTGCTTTGCCTCGGCCACGGATGAGGCTGCTGCCCTTCGGGCCTGTCGGTACCTTGCAACTGCCTCGGGAGTCCCCCGGGATAACAAATCCCTGAAGGCCTCCTTCTTCAGTCGGACGGCTTCCCTGACCACCGGTGTCCACCAGGAGGTTCAAGGGTTACCTTGAGGCACCTAAGACCTTGAGACCACAGCTCCCCGCCGCGGCTTCGGCAATAGAGGCTTTGAACACCGACCACTCTGGTTCAATGTCCCCAACCTCCACAGGAATGCCCGAAAAGCTCTGCCGGAGGTGTGAGTTGAAGGCCTCCTGAACTTGGGCCTCCTCCAGACGTTCCCAGTTCACCCGAACTACACGTTTGGGCTTACCAGGTCTATCCAGAGGCTTCCCCCGCCACTCGACCCAACTCACCACCAGATGGTGATCAGTTGACAACTCCGCCCCTCTCTTTACCCGAGTGTCCAAAACATACGGCCTCAGGTCCGATGATACGATAACGCAATCGATCATGGACCTTCTGCCTAGGGTGCTCTGGTACCACATACACTTATGAGCATCCTTATGTTCGAACATGGTGTTTGTTATGGCCAATCCATGACTAGCACAGAAGTCCAGTAACAAACCACCACTCCGGTTCAGATCAGGGGGGCCGTTCAATCAATCAATCAATCAATCAATGTTTATTTATATAGCCCAATATCACAAATGTTACATTTGTCTCAGTGGACTTTACAGTTTGTACAAAATATCAGTATGACAATACGACACCCTCTGTCCTTAGACCCTCACATCGTACAAGGAAAAACTTCCGGAGAAAACCCACAGTTTAAAGGGAAAAATGGGAGAAACCTCAGGGAGAGCAACAGAGGAGGGATCCCTCTCCCAGGACGGACAGACGTGCAATAGATGCCGTGTGTAAATTGAAAAGATAATACATTTGCAACATAGGTAGTCCAAATGTTTGGAAATGCATGTGTGTATAATAGGAAGATGAATCCACGAGGATATCCATCCAGGACCTATGATCCAGGACCACAGCCACGACTCAAGATCCAGGGCTCGCGATCCAGGACAGAGGAGCGCAGGATCATCCATGACTCCGGATCCCGGCGTATATAGACACCAAAAAGAAAGACATTTGGGGAAGCTGGGTTAATCGGAACATGAGAGTACACAGGTATAGACAGAGAGAAGGAAGAAGTAAGATGTCCCCCGACAAACTAAGCCTATATCAGCAAAACTAGGGGCTGGATCTAATCAGCCCTAACTATAAGCTTTATCAAAAAGGAAGGTCTTAAGCGCACTCTTAAAAACGGATAGGGTGTCTGCCGCCCGAACACAAACTGGAAGCTGATTCCACAAATGTGGAGCTTGATAAGAAAAGGCTCTGGCTCCCATTGTACTTTTAGAGACTCTAGGAACAACCAACAACCCTGCATTCTTGGAACGCAATGCCCTAGTAGGACAGTAGGGTATAATGAGTTCTTTAAGGTAAGATGGCGCCTGCCCATTAAGGGCTTTGTAGGCGAGAAGAAGAATTTTAAATTCTATCCTGTGTTCTATAGGGAGCCAGTGTAAGGCAGCCAGAACAGGAGTAATGTGGTCCCTTTTCCTAACTCTGGTTAGTACACGAGCCGCAGCATTTTGAATCAGCTGAAGCGACTTGACTGACTTCTTGGTACACCCTGATAATAAAGAGTTACAATAATCCAGCCTTGAAGTAACAAATGCATGGACTAGTTTCTCTGCATCGTTTTGAGGCAAGATATGCCTGATTTTTGCAATGTTACGTAGATGGAAGTAGGCGGTCCTTGAAATTGATTTTATGTGGGCGTTAAAGGATAAATCCTGATCAAATATAACACCAAGATTCCTTACAGTCTCACTGGAGGCCAAATTAATGCCATCCATAGTTAGTATATCCTTAGATAATTTGTTTCGTAGATTCTTCGGGCCAAGTACAATAACTTCAGTTTTGGTCGTGTTTAACATCAAAAAGTTTAAGGTCATCCATGTTTTTAAGTCCTTCAGGCAGTCTTGAATTGTATTTAGATGATTAATTTCATCAGGCTTGATTGATAAATATAGTTGAGTATCATCCGCATAACAATGAAAGTTTACAGAATGATTCCTTATAATATTGCCTAACGGAAGCATATATAATGTGAACAAAATAGGTCCGAGCACTGAGCCCTGTGGCACTCCATGGCTAACTTTGGTTTGCGTGGAAGATTCATCATTGACACGTACAAACTGAGAGCGTTCAGATAGATAGGACCTAAACCAGTCTAAAGCAGTTCCCTGTATGCCAACTAAGTGCTCTAGTCTTTGCAATAAGATATCATGGTCGATAGTATCAAATGCAGCACTGAGATCGAGCAAAACAAGAATAGAGACACGTCCCTTGTCAGAGGCTATTAGAATGTCATTTGTGACTTTAACCAGAGCTGTCTCTGTGCTATGATGTGTTCTAAAGCCAGACTGAAAAGCTTCAAATAAATCATTGTTTTTTAAGTAATCAACTGTTTTGCGACCGCTTTCTCAAGAATTTTTGAGAGGAACGGAAGATTAGAAATAGGTCTATAGTTGGCTAAAACCTCTGGATCGAGGTTGTGCTTTTTAAGAAGCGGTTTTATCACTGCTACTTTGAATGATTGTGGAACATAGCCTGATAATAAAGACATATTCATAATATTTAATAAATAAGTGCTAATTAATGGAAAAACTTCCTTCAACAGCTTAGTTGGAATTGGGTCTAACATACACGTTGATGGTTTAGAAGAGAGAATCATTGAATTTAATTGTTCAAGGTTTATGGCTGAAAAGCATTCTAGTTTACTATCTAGTGTAATATTAGAACTTACGTTTCCGGGAGCTGTTGATAACACTATACTGGTCAAAGGCAAGAGGTCATTAATTTTGTTTCTAAGAGTAACAATTTTATCGTTAAAAAAGCACATAAAATCATTACTACTGAGTGCTATGGGAATAGAAGGCTCAATCGAGCTGTGGCTTTCTGTCAGCCTGGCTACAGTGCTGAAAAGAAATCTTGCATTATTCTTATTCTCATCTATTAATGAAGAGTAGTAAGCTGCTCTCGCTTTACGCAATGCTTTCTTATATTCATTGAGAGTAATATGCCAAATTAAACGAGATTCTTCAAGTTTAGTAGAACGCCATATCCTTTCAAGTTGTCTCGACTTTTGCTTTATTTTGCGGGTTTCGGCATTATGCCATGGAGCTAGTCTATGTTGTTTTATTTTCTTCTTTTTCAAAGGAGCAACAGAGTCTAATTTTATTCGCAGCGCATCTGTAGCACTATCAACAACATGATCAATTTGGGGTGGTGTACATTTTGTATAAGTTTCCTCCCTTACATGCAGACATGCTATCGAGTTAAGTATTGGTGGAATCTCTTCCTTAAATTTGGCTATAGCACTAACAGATAGGTTTCTGCTGCAGGAGCTTTTGACTAATGCTTTGTAGTCTAGTGACAGTACTTCA